GACCAGGGGCCACACAGGCCCTGCCTTTGGGGCTCTCCTTGACTGGGTTCTTTTCTGGGAGTCCTTGAGCCGTAAGCTTCTTTGAGACTTCATGATGCGAGGCTATGTAGGCAGATGGATATACCCTCAAATGGGTACCAAGGTCCTAGGCTGTTAGAATGGGGTCAAGACCCCTAAATGTTGGTACTACAAGAAGAACATGCAAGCCGTGGGGCCTCTGTCCCCTGCCTCTTGGGCCCCCGGAAGCATCACCTGTGATTGATGTCTGTGTTGGTTATTTTTCTAGTTGCTGTGGCAGAAATAACCTAACGGAGCAAGGATTTGGTCTGGTTCACAGTCTCAGGGAATACATTCCAACATGGGGAGAAGGCGTATGGCTAGGGTGGCTCCATCCATGGCGAGAGCTCCTGGCGTAGCTCGTTCCCATTGAGGTGCATATAACCCCTGTGACCTTCCCCTAGTTTGATGCTTCTCGCTAGGCCCCACCTCCCGAAGATGCCACAAACCTACCAAAACAGTGCTACCAGATGGGCACAAATGTTCTGGCACCTAGGAATCATGACCCAGTCTGGTGGGCTTTGAGCCTCCAAGTTTCCTGGAAACGAATTAAAAGCATGAGTTTGCAGAACAAGGCTGACCGTGGCCCGGTGTGAGCATGGGTAACATCCTTTGCTTCAGGACGTGTGCCCACTTAAGCAAGTGCAGCCGGGCCCTTAGTTCATGTGCAGTGGCAGATGTGTCCAGCCTGTGAGGGTTCCCTAGCAGTGTCCACCAGCATCCAGGGTTCCCACGTTTCCCTTCCTCCAGGACAGGGGGACTCGTAAGAACCCTTTCACCTGTCACAGGCCATTTTTTTTTTCTTCATGGAATTTGGGCCTCTGTGACTGCGTCTGGTTAGATAGGAGCATCCAGGCCACCAATCCTGGCAATGCCAAGCCAGTGGCAGGGACTGGTATTTAGTCCATGTGGGATGCTGAAAGAGGGACCCTTGCTGCCAGCGTGACCTGTCTTAATCCTCCCTAGACCTTGGTTTCTCCTGTACATGCAGGCTCTCTGGCCTTTCTAGACCTAGATAAACAGTACTGGTCAGTTTCTCAGCTTATACAAGCAGGTCTTAACCCCTGCCTACCACTTTGTAAGGATGGGGACGACACACACAACACTGTCGTCAGGACACGGTGAGGGGAAACTGGCCTCAGAGGGGTAGGCCCACTTGGAAACAGCAGTCCCTGCATAAGGCAGGCGGCTCTATCAGAGGGGCTGTGGAGTCCATGGACATGAGAGAGCCCAGCTGCCTACACAGGTAGGGGAGGGGTCTGAGCAGAGATGGGATCAGGTCTATCCCACGCCCTTCATCCCAAGACCTGGTCTTCCTCAGGCCAGTCCCACCTCTTGCCCTAGCCCATGTCTCCTCTTTACCCTAGAGGAACCAATTTACTGTTACACTCCGCACAACTTCACCCGTGACCAGGCGCTGTACGCCCGTGGCTACTGCTGGACAGAGCTGCGGGACGCGCTGCCCGGCGTGGATGCCAGCCTGTGGCCATCGCTGTTTGAGCACAAGTTCCTGCCCTACGCACTGCTGGCCTTTGCTGCCATCATGTATGTGCCCGCCCTGGGCTGGGAGTTCCTGGCCTCCACGCGCCTCACCTCTGAGCTCAACTTCCTGCTTCAGGAGATTGACAACTGCTACCACCGAGCCGCTGAGGGCCGTGCCCCCAAGATCGAGAAGCAGATCCAGTCGAAGGGGCCAGGCATCACGGAGCGCGAGAAGCGGGAGATCATCGAGAACGCTGAGAAGGAGAAGAGCCCCGAGCAGAATCTGTTTGAGAAGTACCTGGAGCGCCGGGGCCGCAGCAACTTCTTGGCCAAGCTGTACTTGGCGCGGCATGTGCTGATCCTGCTGCTCAGTGTGGTGCCCATCTCCTACCTGTGCACCTACTACGCCACCCAGAAGCAGAACGAGTTCACCTGTGCCCTGGGCGCCTCACCCGATGGGCCAGTGGGTAGCGCTGGACCCACGGTGCGCGTCAACTGCAAGCTGCCGTCCGTGCAGCTGCAGCGGATCATTGCAGGCGTGGACATCGTACTCCTCTGCTTCATGAACCTCATCATCCTAGTCAACCTCATCCACCTCTTCATCTTCCGCAAGAGCAACTTCATCTTTGACAAACTACACAAGGTGGGCATCAAGACGCGCCGGCAGTGGCGGCGCTCACAGTTCTGCGACATCAACATCCTGGCCATGTTCTGCAACGAGAACCGCGACCACATCAAGTCGCTCAATCGGCTGGACTTCATCACCAACGAGAGCGACCTCATGTACGACAATGTGGTGCGGCAGCTCCTGGCGGCCCTGGCTCAGTCCAACCATGACACCACGCCCACTGTGCGGGACTCCGGCATCCAGACTGTGGACCCCAGCATCAACCCTGCAGAGCCGGATGGCTCCGCTGAGCCACCTGTGGTCAAGCGGCCCCGAAAGAAAATGAAGTGGATCCCCACCAGCAACCCGCTGCCACAGCCCTTCAAGGAGCAGCTGGCCATTATGCGCGTGGAAAACAGCAAGGCTGAGAAGCCCAAGCCCGTGCGCAGGAAGACAGCCACAGACACGCTTATTGCCCCGCTGCTGGATGCTGGTGCCCGGGCCGCCCACCACTACAAGGGTAGTGGGGGTGATCCCGGCCCCTCCCCTGCCCCACCTGCTGCCTCTGACAAGAAACATACCCGTCACTTCTCCTTGGATGTGCATCCCTACATCCTAGGTACCAAGAAGGCCAAGACTGAGGCAGTACCCCCTGCCCTGCCAGCCTCCCGGAGCCAAGAAGGTGGCTTCCTGTCCCAGACAGAAGAATGTGGGCTGGGCCTGGCTGCAGCACCCACCAAAGGTAGGGAGCCAGGCAGGTGGGGGATGGGGCAAGACGTAGATTCCCAGGGAGCCCCGAGCAGGAAACTGGCAGTCCCCCATGTCTAGGGCACGAGGGCAGAAGACACTGCAGAACAACGTAGATGAGGTGGCAGCCGGGCTAGCTAGGGCTTGGTGACAGCTGGGCCAGCTGATGGGTTGCTCCTAAGGTGAGGTGCAGGCCTAACAGGAGTCTGGATGCTCCCATAAGGCAGAGGATGAGGAGGAAGGCAGGGCTGTGGCCACACATCTCCTTTGGTCAGTAAGGGCTTCAGGCAGATGTGGGCCACTGCGGGCGGGTGGATGGAGGGTGTTTTGCAAACAGCACTGCTATTCATGGGTGGCCAGACTTAGCTGGGCAGGCTGCTAAGTGCAAGGGTGCCTGCCATCCATGGAAGCTAGGGGCCCAGCGGGTCCCGTGGGTGACACCGGGAGGGCCGCAGGAGCGAGTGAGCTAGAAGGTGAAATGCCTATGTTCCTGCCTGTTTGCAGATGCTCCACCCCCCGAGAAGGAAACCCCATACCCCACAGAGCCTGCCCTGCCAGGGCTTCCATCTGGGGGCCCATTTCACGTCTGCTCACCCCCCGCGGCTCCTGCTGCTGCCCCCCTGTCACCAGGCAGTCTGGGCAAGGCTGACCCCCTCACCATCCTCAGCCGAAATGCCACCCACCCCCTGCTCCACATCAGCACGCTCTATGAGGCCCGGGAAGAGGAGGAAGGAGGCCCCTGTGCACCCTCAGACATGGGCGACCTCCTCACCATCCCCCCACCCCAGCAGATCCTCATCGCCACCTTCGAGGAGCCAAGAACAGTTGTGAGTACTGTGGAGTTTTGAGGGGCAGGGCCCTCCAGGCTGCCAAAAACTCTCTGCATGAGCCAGGGATGGCCCAGCTGAGCCTAGCCTTGAGTAGACCTGAACTCTGCTCACCCAGTACTGCCTACACCCCCAGCCTCCTGTCTGCATGCCACGGGGCCCAGCACTCCTTCCCCCTGGCTCACCATGGCATCCACGGGTGCAGGCTGGGGCTAGAGCGCAAGGTGGGGGGGTAGGGTGCCCACCCTGGCATCAGGCGGCCCCTGTGTGCTGGGCCACAAGAGAGAGAGTTTATTTTTTGTCGTGGGTTTTGTTGTGTGCTGAGACAACTCAGCAGACCCAGCCTAGGGTGTGTGAGGAGGAAGCTTGAGAACGGTGGCACTGACCTCAGGACAGACCCCAGGGGTCACTCACTTAAGGGCCTGGCCCCTGCAGAGGGACCTGATGCCTTCAGGTGGGGGAACCGAGGGCTGGCTGCCCCAGGTCCAAATCAACATGCACTTTCTCCTCCTAGCCTGACACACACTTTATTTTACTATGATTACTGTAACTGACGAGCTTATTTATCATCAGGAGAATTAGGGTGCATTTAAAGCAAAGGATGGTGTGTGTGTGTGTGTGTGTGTGTGTGTGTGTGAGATAAGCAGAGGTGGGTGTGAGTGTGCAAGTAAGCAGGTGTGGGTATAAGCACCTGCCTGAGTGCTGCTCGAGTTTGCCAGAGGGCACAGTGCCCACACGCCAGCAAGCTCACGAACAAGTAGGGGACAAGCGTGGTGTGAGTGAGCCTGAGCGTGTGGAGTGTGCGAGTGGTACCCACGTGAGCAGTGGGTGAGAGCAGGCCTAGGCACCAGGGTGCAAGTGAGGGAAGGAATACAACGCAATAACCACATCCCCCTCCCGGGTCCCCAGCTGCTGGCTGGGCTGCTTCCCATGGGAGTCCAGGCCCCACTGGCCCCACCCCTATTACCTCAGCCACGCGCCACGTGACGAAGTATTAACAAGGTAGCACCGAGCATATCAATAAATACTATTCTGATAACTCCCTGTGCTTTGAGGCCCTGCCTCCCTGTACTAACTAGAGCTGCCTGCAACACCCATCCACACCTGGGCATCTCTGGGAGCCACTGGGTCACAGTGGGCAGGGCCAGGCAGCCCAGGATGCAGGAACATCAGGCCTCCACCCGGAAGTGTGAGGAGGGGGACCATGGGGCGCTGGGTTGTGGGGCTGTGGGGGGACAGAGTATTAAGGGAGCTCTCTGGGGAGGGACAGAGTATCTTAGTCACTGCTCTATTGGTGTCTGTGAAGAGACACCATGACAATGGTCACTTGAAGAAGGAAGCATTTAATCAGAGGGTTATCATCTCAGAGGGTTAGTCCGCGAACGACATGGCGGGGAGCACAGCAGCACGCAAGCGTGGCGCAGGAGCCCAGAGCTACATCCTGATCTGCAGGCAGGAAGCAGAGAGTGTGGGTCTGTCTGCTGAAACCTCAGAGCCCACCCCAGGGACACACCTTCTCCAACAAGGCCACATTGCCAAAGCCTTCCTCAGCAACCCACCATCTGGGAACCAAATATTCAGATATATGAGCGTACTGGGGCCATTCTTCAAACCACCACATACAGCCTGCCTGGCCCCAGGCGCTGTTAAGTGCGTTACCAGGGACCACAGAGCTGGCAGGATCCGGGAAGGGTTCTTGGTTGGTAGGTCCTGGCTGTGGTCAGGATGCACTTACCATGTTCATCAGAAGGTCCACAATAGAGTTTCAACCTCAGGCCCAACTTTCAGTTAGACAAAACTGGCCCTATAGAGCGGCATGCCCTGCAGGCCAGGGTAGGTGACCATGTGGGTTTGAACAAGAAAGTCCTTGAAGACAGGTGACTGAGGAAGCTAGGCCAGGAATTCATAGACATTCGGGGGCATAGGTCATATATCAAAAGAGAGAGGCTCAGCTGAGATCAGAACAGCCACCTCTGCCTGGCTTGTGCCTCCTGAAAGCTTACCTAGCCATGGGACAACCCTGAGGTGGGCAGGGCAAAATGTTCCCATGTCCTCCACTGCCACAGTCCAAGCCTAAGCATGCTGACCATGCAGAGACCACATTCTGGTTTGATTATTCGTTTTAAAAATGTTTTGTTATTATCCACTTAAGGCCAAAACAGATCACAGGACCCCTGCCACTGGTTTAGTTGGGGGATACAGGGAACCAATCCTGGGGCTTGCATATGCTAAGCAAGTGTTCTATCGCTGAGTTACACCTCCAGCTCAGACACCTGCCATAGGAAAGGTGTTTCTTGTTCACAGACAATAGAGGGGACATCCCACATCACACAGGGTCACACCAAGGAATACCGACCGGGGTGAGGCTGGCAGAGAGATAGCCATCCCCAGGAAGGAACAGATCGGGCAAGTGAGAGACGGAGGATCCTCCAGTGTGGATGGCTTCTGTGGCTGCTGGACTCAGGCTGTGCCTAATTCCTGCCTTGGAGTGACTGGGACAGGTGGATAGTGGCCCAGACTGTGGGAAAGGGGTAGTGATAGGCACTGCACATAGTGTTACCTGCCCACTCTGGGGAGTGCTCTGCCTTAGAAGAAAGGCACCTGTCCAGAGCCAGCAAAGCTCCCAAGTCGGCAGATGAGACTCTAGAAGACAGCCAGGTGTGGCACCACAGCATTTAATCCCAGCACTTGGGAGGCAGAGGCAGGCAGATCTCTTGAGTTTGAGGCCAGCCTCGTCTACATTGTGAGTTCCAGGACAGCCAGGGCCTCATAGTGCGACCCTGTCTCAAAGTCAAACCAAAAACCACAATACAATACAGAAATGCACCCTGTCCTCAGAAAGCCCACCCTAAGCTGATGCTGGACACTGTCCCTGGGATTCCAGGCAGTACACAACATTTCCACACATTCTAGGGAGTGGCTTCTGAGACCCCATGGAACCCTGGGGGAACAGCTGGCTGCCTCCAGGCTGCTTGCTCCCCTGGAGAAGATGAGCCACGGTGCCACGGCCCACACCCACAAATTGGCCCCTTGACGATGATGAGCAGGCATGGCAGCTAAAATAACCCAAGAAAACTTGGGGTGCTGGCGTCTTTCCTGCTCCCTGGCCCTCTCTGCTCACATACCCACCTGCTTCCTGCACGTGGCATATAGTCCACCCTGCATGTATGATATCCACTCCCTACAGCTCAGCCTGAACACCCAGAGGCTTGCTTGGCTCAGATGGGGAGACACTCAGATTCTAGGGAGCCGCTGGTCTGCATGGTACCAAGTCCATCTGCTGTACCTTCCTTATCGGCCCTGTTTCCCTGTTCATGAAAGGAAGTACCATAGAAAATTCAGACAGTGTCTGGGCATGCTGTCCCAGAGCTTATACAGAGCAGAAGTAGCCATGGGAGAGGCTGGGCCCACTGGAGCTGGCTCTTTGGGAGAACCAAGGCCAATAAAGCAGCCGCTTCTCACCTCTATTCTTGGATTAAGCCTAGAGGGACCTCTCAGAAGAGTCCTGTCTGGAAGAGGTCGGTGCTGTGAGTAAACAACGCTGTCTCTGTGTGCTGACCTTCAAGGGGCTGCTTCTGGGGAAGGGGCTCAAGTCAGTGTCCTGCAGAAGCAGACAGAGAGTGAGTTCCTGTTTCTTCACGCCTTATATACCTTTCTCTGCCCAGGGGTACTGTGCATCCTACCATCTTACTCCTCAGAAGTGTCCTCTGGCTCCATGTTCCCATTAGCTAGTCGACCTTCCCGGAAGCAGATGGCCAGGGGCCCAAAGAAAGAATAGTCGTGATCCCTGGGGTCACCCTGAGCTGAGCCCCTTGCCAACTTGGGGGCTCCCTTTCTGGCCTCTGCCTCAGCTCCGCTTCTGTGGGACCTGTCTGGTTCAGGTTGTCTTTGCCGTTCTCACACCGGACCTTTTCCTTGCTGTGCCCCTCAAAGCTAACTGGGAGCCCAGGAAGGCCTTCCACACTGTGTACTCACAATTGCTTCAGAAAGCTCCTTTCCCTTCCTAGGGGCTCTGGGCGCCTCCGGCCATGTGGAATCCTTTCCCCGCAAGCCTCACCTGCCCGCATTGGCTCCCCGCATGGCTCACCTCAAAAAGCCCCTCCGGTGGCTGCTCTGCTGAACAAAGGGGCCTCCCAGGTGGCCAACTCTGTGATAAGTCACCCGCTCGCCTTGTGGCGGAACAGAACCTGCTGGAACAAAAAGCATGCTTGGGAACAGCTGGTCGAAGGCAGAGCTCAGCTAGCAGGCTGTTCACCCAAGCAAAGCCTAAGGTATAGGGGAGGCCCAGGCTCTACCAGCTGGGGATCTGCCATGGTTTCCCTGGCAGCGTGGCCAGACATGTCCCCCAGACACCATTTCCTATTTCTGGCCCCTGCAGACACCAGTAGGTGAGAGGGCATCTCTGGTTTTCATCACCTTCCTCCCCCAACAGCCACTTAGCCAAAGCAGAATTCTGGCCCTTGAGGCAGGGCAAACGGGACATGGCACTGTGGTCTGCCCACAGAAACCGACAGGCTGGGGGAGAGCCATCCCAGCCAACCAGGACTGGAATCCAGGCCCATTCCTGACACTAGCCTAGCAGTAAGGTTTTCAAACAGTACAGGTACCGGGAGAGTCACCTCATCGTGGGTGCTCTGTGAGCAGGCAGAGTGGGTGGCAGGCTCGGCTCCGAGCCCATCCCTGCTGCCTTCTTTCTGTTGAGCCGCACGAGTGTGGCTAAGGAGGCCAGAAGAGGAGAGGTGACCACGGAGCACAGGCAAAAAAAGTAGCGAACCACAGGGACACAGCCGAGACTCCCCAGAACAAAGATGTGTGTCGCTAAGGGGCAGGGAAGGCAGAGGTCACCTGGAAGCCAGGCCCCTTGGGGGATCGAGAAGCTGTATGGAGGAGATGGTAACAAGAGGAGCAGCAAATGCCTGCCAGTAGTCTCCATGTGGACCTCTCCATGTGTAACCACTTGCCGGAGGGAACCCTGCCTGGTGCAGAAAGGATTAACTCCCCGACAATAGCCAGGTTCTAGAAGGGCCATTCAGAGGACCGATGTCAAAGGCCAAGGCCAGGGCTGCAACCTCTCGCCTCTTGGAATCTGAAAGGGCTGGAAGGGGCAGCTGGGAACTAGGCAGAGCTTACTCCCCCTTTGGAAGGTCTGTGTCAGGGCCTGCTCTGGGTCGTCTCTGTCCGACCCCCACAGTAGCTCATCTTGGGGCACTCAATGGAGAAATGTCCACTCTGGACCCACCTGGCTCCTCCCATCCATTCACCAACCTTGGGCAGAAGGACCAACAGTCCTCTGCAGCCTGGAGACCTGAGTGGGCCAACTGGCCCCACCCCCTGTCCCGTTCTAAGGTGCAGTTGGAGACTGGATACCCGGAGGCCTGGGCACTGGTGGAGGCAATCACTGGGGCGCCACCCACCCAGAGACCCCGCCGTTTCCAGACTCTCGGCCACACGCAGCGGAACTCGCGAGGCCCTGATGGCCTAGGGGACTGACTTGGCCAGCTTCTTGCTCCTTAGTCCTGCCTTTGAGCCTCTCCACCTGGCATGTGTTTCCCCAAGGGCGCGTCGTACGATCCCTAGTTTCTGTCCCTTTCCAGGGCTGCTGACTGCTCCCTGGACGCTAGGCCACCGTGCGGACGCCTTAAGTACACAGCCCCATTGCACAGACTTGGCTGTGGGGTTAGCACCTCCCACCACCACCACCCCGCAGCGTGCTCCGGGTTGCTCTCTAGGACCTGGGGGCGTCGGGCCGGTAGGCGGGGCCCTGCGCTCAGACCCCGGCGGGGGCGGGGTCTCGCGCGCGCGCGGCCCTGGGAGGCGTT